CCTGCGGATGCCATGCGGAAGCGCTGCCTCAGCAGCTTGTGCGAGGAGGTCTGCAGTGCGCCCGAAGTCGAAGTGGGCAGTGAAGTGTAGTATAGCGATAGGGTAGTGGCAGCTAGCGCTGCCATAGCTGTAGTACAGTGTGTGTGTGTGCTGCGTATGRACACTGAGTGTTGCGTGTGGGACATCCAGGGTGATCCAGCRTGCGAACAGTGAGTTGTGTGGGCGCAGAGCCGCCATAGCCAGTTGAAGAGAACTCTTATCCGGTTACGATATCTTTGAGTACTGTGTGGGCGCATGTCGCCAGTTGCTGTATCGCTGTTTGCATGCAAGACAAGTGTGAATGATCCGAGTCTGATTGCAGAAGCACGAGGAGAGAAGATACGCATCACGCGCATTAAAAATTTTAGATGATGTGACTGATTGGGTGGGATCACTGGGATGGTAGAGGGGGGAAGAAGGAATTGTGGGGAGATAGAAGGAGAAGAAAAAGATAAGATCTTTGAGAAAGATCGGTGAGAGGAAGGGAGGGAATTAGTAAAAGGGAGATAGATTAACAATACTGCACTCCCGGTCGGCGGGGATCAATCAAGGTCATTCCTCCTAGTCGAGGAAGGTCTTCATTCAACCCCTGAGGGGTCTTCTCGATCGTTCCCCCGGTGGAACGACGAGGTCACCGGAGCAATCCTCAATAATGATGGTGATGATGGTGATCCTTGTTGATGACGATGACGCTGATGATGCTTGATGATGCTGATGAAGGAGACGAGATCAATCTCAACTGCCCTGGAGAGTGATGGGCAGGAGGAATCTCGTCAATCTTTTAAAGCGCGTCACTTGGGCGGATGGCCCGAATCAGGATCGAACGGCGATGAAGAGCTCGAGGCCAACTGCTCTACTTGCTGGCGGGTGAACAATCCAACCCTTGATGAATTATGCTTCACAATGATAGGGAGAGCCGACGTCGAAGGATCAAAAAGCAATGTTGCTATGAAAGCTTGGCAGCCGCAAGCCAGTTATCCCTGCAGTAACATTTTTCGGATACCTCTAGCTTCAAGTCTGGAAATGGTAAAGGATCGATTTGCCAAGCTCTCACAGTTTTTTTTTTTGAAAGGTTGTGCAGGTTGGAGACGGCCTTAAAGGGGTCTTGTCGCACGGCCATTGAGGGCAGTCCCGCCAGGCAGGCCGGCGCGTCGAGCCTTCCTACGCTCTCGGAGCGGGTACTACACTCGCCAAGCGAGACCTGCGCAGACGGCCCTGCCCACAATGGTATCGTATGTTCCACCCCCTCCCCACACCCCCTAACACACACACTCACTGAACAAGCTGAGACCCTCAGAGACAGCGCACACGTATGCGTACTGGAAATCAAAACCAAATAAGTTTTTGCCCGTTTGCTCCAAACGAGATGACTGTTCTCGTTAAGCTCATTTGAGGACACTTGGGTTATCTTCTAGCAGATGTGCCGCTCCAGCCTTCCCTGCTGCGCACGTGCGCCCAGACAAAGGTAAATCGGGGGATGATCATGGGAAGGGAGGGGAGGCAGATCGCGCTGGGAAGCAGGGGAGTGGGTCTCAATGCAGGGGGTGAAG